TAAACTTAAATTTCTGGTGAGATCTTACCAGCTGCTTGTGAAAGTACATTAAATCTTTTAGATAAAGTGGCATAGTACTTACCTCTATGCACATAATTCTATACTTTAGTAGATCCTATCCAGATTACTTGTATTAACACAATGTAAAAATGCTATGCAAATAGTTGTTATACTGTAGGTGTAAACAATAAGTATTGTTGAGATATTGACACCCAAAAATCTAAACTTATATAAAGTAAATTTCATTGTCAAAATTTTTGTAACATTAGAGAAAATTCTGTTCTAAAATGAATTGTAAACATATTTGTGAAAAGTAATAATCTGCATGAAAAAAAAAACAAATCCAATTTAAAAAATCTATGAAAAATTTAAATAATTATTAGATTTTAAGCTAGTGCTTAAAGGCTAAAAAAAAAAATAGAATTAGGATGTTTAGTAATGACTAAATAAATGTGATGACCATGCTGGAGAGAGACTAAGAAATAAAATAGCAGCTTGGTATACCTATCACTTCATTCATTGTGGATTCTATGTACTGCTTAGTATGTGGCAAAGTTAAGTTTTACTTTTTGCAATTTTTTTTCTCTCTCTCAATGTTTTTGATCTACACTTGATTAATCAGCGGATGCAAAACTTGCAGATATGAAAGGCCGACTGTAATCTAATATTCTTTAAAAACATCATCCTTCACTACTACTACTACTACTACTACTACTACTTAGGATAGCAATGTAATAAACTGCTTCTTACTTTTTCGTAGGCCAGTGAAATTACAACTCAATGTCTTCAATTTTTAATTGTGAAGCTCTCATTGGTGGTGGTGGTGGGGGGGTTATAGAATGAAAAGTTAAAAATGAAAGGAGGGTTTTTTTGTTTTTTTTTAATTCATCATCTGACCTCCATATGGCCAGCAGGACTCTAGTGAAATCTGACTCTTACTTTTTATTTTATTTTATTTATTTATTTTTTTATATTTTGATGCCAACTTGGCACTGTTCAATTTTGACTGCTCTGACAGTCACTGGCTTCATTGGTCAAATGTTGAATTCCCCCAACCAATTAGCTGATATCATTAACTATTTTTTCTCATATATTACTTGGATTAATTACTCACAGATTTTTATCTGTGTGTGTGTGTATATATATATATATATATATATATATATATATATATATATATATATATATATATTTTTTTTTTTTTCTTGTCAAAACATACTAAATCACACATGTACTTAAATTCATGTGACTTTGATCACACCTTGATATACTGGACTAACAGTTATGTACTACAGTAAGGTGAAGCCAAATATGTTTGACATAATGGTTAACTTGGTGTACAATATCAATTAAAGGTAAAAACATAATGCTCAGGAATTTCAAGAACAGGGAACTGCTTTTAATCATATCTTCTGTGTAAAAATATGCATACTAGTGGAATTTCAAATTTATCGTGAACCACTAAAACAAATTTATTGTAAAGATTAACTCTTAAGTTTAATTTAGCATGTATTTAGTTGTGGCAGTCATAACAGGAATCTTTTTTTCTTTTTTACTTGCATTAGAAAAAAAAAATCAAAATATATTTATCAACAGGGTAGAATAATAAATTATGATTTATGTTTCGTGAATAATTCTCTGTAAAATAATTGTATAAATTTAAAATTTTAATAGATTAAATGATTAATTTCATTACTAGTAATAGGCTAGATGTATGCATTTGCATAGACTATTTGATCATTGTGATAAAGTGAAAAAGAACGATAGCTATCTAATAACTTAAATCACAAGGCAAACTAGGTTCTCATGCTTTGAGTTGCAATCAGTTTATGTTAATTATTGAGAACACTATTTTTTTTTTTTTTTTTTTTTTTAAACACTTTCAGTTATTATTACATTCATCTAATTTATAGGCAGAAAATATAACCATACAATTTAAACAGATTAGAGAGATTGAATGATTGAACTATTTAAAAGCTGATCTGATACACAGGAAGAAGCAATAAGACAAGGAAATTCTAAATTTTTTTTTTTTAAAGGTTAAATATATAGTGAGGTTTACCATGTACAAGGCCCAGTAAGAGGCAATCAATTTATGCAGATAGGAGGTGAAGATAACGCTCAACACTAGACTTGAACAGATTAAGCTTGTAGTGATTGGGGGCAACATTTTCTAGGGAGTCAGTTCCACAGAGCAGTGGTTCACAAGAAGAAACTCTTCAAGATGAACTTACTTTTCACCAATGGAATCTGGAGGGAATGAGGGTGGCTTGCTATGATGTGAGTGGCATGACAGGTCCTGGCTGTGAAGGTTAGAATTGGTGGAACAAAGAAATACAGTTTGGTTGTAAATAGCGATAGAGTAATGAGAGGCTTACCACATCCCATCTGTGAGAGAAATTGGAGGGTGGAAAGTAATTTGTTATGACTAGGAGATGCTTTTTGAACTCTATTGATAGTGGAAAGTGAGGACTGGAAAGCACCTGCCCAAATAACAGTCGTACTCCACTTTAGGCCTGATCTGGCTCTTGTAAAGGTAGCAGATAGCATGAGGAGTCAGGTACTTACTGGAGCAGTACAGGGAAATGACCATTTTATCTGCATCTTTAACAGTGGATCATATATAAGAGTTCCACTTGAGGTCAGGAGTTAGTTTAAAGCCTAATAGTCTCTCTGGGGGGGGGGCATTCATTCATCATGCCTGGTGGTAGTTTGGAGTTTGATCAGTAATGATGGAGTGTAACTAGTGTGTAACCAGCCAGTTTTTTACCTCTATTGACAAGTTAGAGCTAGAAATTTATATAAATTATTAGGTTTATTTATATCATGACCATTCAAAATTTGTTTACAACAAAACAATTTCTAGAGAAGGAAAACTCTGAATTCAAAACTTTGTAAATAATAGAGCAGACTGGGCTTTTTATCCTTGGTATGGCAACCAATCTAAGAGAACTCCTCTGAAGTCAAATTCATTCTGAAGAGGAATCAACTCCATCAGGTTATTTTGCCCTAGACACACCCACTACTGCTAAAGTTGCAATATATTTATTGCCCTAACAAACTTAATAGGTTATGGAACTTGACCTAATGAACATGACCTTATAACATGTAACTCCTCCCTTCACATAGTTTATGAGGTACTAGTCATTATATCAGAATATCTAAGCACATTCCATGGCTGTCCATTAGTTTCTTGGGTGTATCTACTGGGAATTTAGTCAGTTTTGAAACATGCCCAATACATGCTTAGTAGTTTAAATCTAGTGATCTCAAGTGATGTACCTGGAAGTGAGGTGAGTTTTATTTAAACAAGATTCATGTTACACACACACAGAGTAGGGTGGGGTGTTGAATTATCTTGCTCGACCAAAATATCAGCACCAGGAAATGTGAGCATAGAGAGATACAAATGTTCTGCAATAATATTTTTGTATGTTGCACATGTCAATGCTCCTGATCCTTGCAAACACCAATATAATACGCCTTGCACAATTACAGAGCCACTGCTAGCTTTCACAACAAACACCTTGACAGGCTGGATCTATAGCTTGAAACAGGACTCTTCTGATCAGGCAACATAAGTCCAGTCTTCTAGAGTCTAATGATGATGTTTTCTGGCTATGATGAGTGGCAGTAACTAGTGCCATAGTGTTGATAATGGTACATTTGTTGGTTGCCAACTGTGAAACCTTATGGAAAGTGTCTCCAACCTCTCTCTCACAAACAGGATGAGTCTCTCCCTGCCCTATCACTACTAACATGGAAAGTGCTTGAATGAACTGCATTTCCTCGTTCCACCAGATCTGACCTTCACGGCTAGGACCTGCCATGCTACTTACATAGCAAACCATCTACATTCTATCCATATTCCATTGGTGAGAAGTTCAATTTGAACAGCTTTTTCCCACAAACCACTGCCCTATAGAACAGACTCCCTAGAGGATGTTTCCCTGATCACTAGAATCTTAACCTGTTCAAGTCTATAGTCAACTGTTATCTTCCCCTCTTATCCATATATACTACCCTTTATTGTAACCCTCTATCTTGAGCGGGTCCCTGGGTCTTATACAGAGCAGGGTGAACCTTACTCTGTGTGTGTGTGTGTGTGTGTGTGTGTGTGTGTGTGTGTGGAAAAAAAAAAAAAAGTGTATATTGTAGCACCAAAATGATGCAGCAGTGTTCTCTTTTATTAGCTGGTTACCATCTCCACATCAGTTGCTGTTGGTTCTGTTTTTATATGACCTGCGCTGTTGATTTCTGCCCCAAATTCACATATTTTTAGTATGTCTTTTCTGTTGTTACTCAAAAGAAAAACTGTAGCATTTGCCACTTTGAAGATAGTGCCCACTCCTGGCCCCAACAATCATTATATAGGGAAACTGTTAAATTTTATTTGTATCTCATGGCTGCCACAACTACACTACTTCTTTACATGTCATCCAGTTCTACAAGTGGAAGAGGTTAAAAAATTAGTGTATTACACTTTCCAAGTTTTTAAGACTTCAGTTTAAATAAAATATGTCCGATCATTCAGTTACTTCAAGATTTCATACCTCCCACATA